GAGATTGCTTTGTTGTGTTGTTGTATCAACGTATCTCATCATGTCTTCTCCAGTCTTCCAAGGATGCTATTTATAGCTGGATTGGATAATCTATCCGTTGAATCATAATAGACTATCCGTTGCATTTGCTGGCTTCAATTTTGAATGAAGATTGTGATTTGAAGATTCTTTGTTGAAGTGGGTGTTTGGACGTACCCAATTGTTGAGAAAGGATTCCTTTTTCCACAGAATCCGTCTTCTAGCTGTTGTTCAAGAATTCAAGACTGTAGCACTTTACTCTGTTTGTCCTCTAGTGCTTGTTTAGGATTTCTGGACAGGCTCTTCAATTTTAGAGGTCCGGACTTTGTCTTCGAGTAGTTTGTTCTTGAATCAGCATAATTATCTTCAATCTAGCCGTTAAAAATCAAGAGATTGATTTTTCCTTACCAACGGGTAGAATTTCTTCATTCAAGACTTAGATAATTTTCTAAGTCTTTTCTCACTTGTCCGCTTTCTGAGAATTCCGTTCTTCAATGAGTCTTCCGATTCTTAGCTGACAAATCCGGAGGAGTCATTTTCAGACTTCCGGGTGAGAAAGAGATCCGCGCTAGTCTTCCGATTTGGATGACTTAGCCTTCAGCGGGTTGTAGCGAGACATCCGGTTCTTATGTAGTCTTCTGGATCTGAGGATTTTCATCTGATTGATAAATCCTTACTTGTCTCTGACATTTCCGATCAAGATATCCAATTTTCATATCACTGAATTTGATTAAGTCTTCAGGCATCAATACGCTTAAAGAAATATCACAGCTTTATTGGAAATCTCAAGAGCTCGGTTTTGACAATATTTCTAAAAAGAAAAATAACATTGAATATTGGGGGAGACCTAAAGTCCCTAATACATTCTAAATACATCATCATCAAAATCTATAATATTTTTCCCAACACGGTCCTTGCCAAGCCCGAGCCCGGGGAGACTTTGTATCTTTACTTGGGAGTGTCGCCCAAGGCGCTAAGCTCGGTCTTGGTCCGAGAAGATGGCGGAGCTCAGCACCGAGTGTACTACACGACGAAGACGTTGAGGAGTGCCAAGCTCATGTACTCGGTAGCTGAAAAGACGGTCCTAGCCGTAGTGTTAACCGTGCAGTGGTTGACGCCCTACTTCCAAGCTCACCCAGTCCAGGTGCTCTCCCAACAGCCCATAGGTGCGCTGCTTTGGAGTCTAACGCGCCCTCTCGCATGTCCAAGTGGGCGGTGTTCCTTGGAGCCTTCCAGATCGAGTTCAAGCCAAGGCCGGCGATCAAGGGTCAAGCGCTGGCTGACTTCGTGGTAGAGTGCACCGTTCGAGAAGAGCCGAGCCCGGAACTTGAAACCGATGATTGGTGGACAGTTTTTACTGACGGCTCCTCCACCGCCAAAAACTCGGGGGTGGAGTGGTGGTCATCGCCCCCGAAGGTTTCAAAGCGTACTATTCAATTCGATTTGGTTTCAAGGCATCGAATAATGAGGCGGAATATGAAGCGCTCTTGTGCGGGCTACGCCTAGCAGCCGTGATGAACGCGACGAAGCTAAGGATAAATTGTGATTCGAAGTTGGTGGTTGGCCCGACCATGTCTCGGGGGAGTTCGAGGCGAAGGACGAAAGAATGAAAAAATACAGAGATACGACTTTGAAACTCCTTAAAAGCTTCACCGCATATAGTGTCGAGCAGATTCCCCGGGCGGAGAATGTCGAGGCAAATATCCTGTCAAAGTTGAGCTCAGATACGCCCGAGCACATCAGGCGAATGGCTAACGTGGAAGAGTTGTCCGAGCCGAGCATCCACGCCTTCCCCGTGGCGATGATTTGTGCTCGTCCCAAAGATTGGACGGACGACATAATTGCCTTCATAAAGGATGGCGCCCTCCCGGACGATGCAGTGAAGGCCAAGTTGGTCCGGACAAGGGGAAGACTAACCTAGTACGGAGCCGGAAAGTGGACGAGAACGACGGCGAGAAGGCTAGCGACGGCAAAGAAATCTCCTACTTTCTCTCTCTAAAAGGTGGAGAATGAAGAGGATAGGGTTGATATCTATAGAGGAGGGGTTGAATGGGTGCAATGATGGGCCGCCACTTGGCCTAGGGAGGCGAAACGGCGCATCCCTTCATGATGGCGAAGCCCAAACGGCACCAATGGCCTGTCGACTGCTCCACGTGGGCCCCCGCGCCGTTTTCCTATAGTACCCGTACTATCTCGTGTTCCATCGCCGACTGCAACGAAACCCGGAGAGTGGGGGGCTTATGATGGAGGATGACTCCAAGAGACACGTCAGCCGGACCCCATCAGCCACGTTGGAGAGCTTTCTGCTCGGCCTATGAGCTCGGCTCGTCTGCGGGCTCGGCTCGGCCTTTGAGCTCGGCTAGGCAGCGTGACAGCGATGGGAAGAAAGCGACCGGCTGCGTTGACTATGTGATAGCGACGGGATGAAAAGGACAACTCATGACAGAGATGACGTCCGCTAGGCGACGAACCTCGATCAGAGAACTTTGACTATGTGTATTGTATCCCCTATAAAAGGGGCGAGACCCCTCGTTGTAATGGATCCAAGTTTAGAACAAATATACTCCTACTTTGCATTCTCTCTCTAAAACTTATATAATTTCATACTCTCGGTGGTTTATAGCCATCATTTATTTGTGAATTGATTCATTGATTGATCGAAGAAGGCCTTTTCTTACTTCAATTTGCATGGTTTGTGTGTCAATAACCTTTAAAAATATTATATGTGTTGAATGGTTTGGAATTAGATCAAACTCTGCTGTTTCGGTGATTTCCCGACGTGTACCGTCTAGTGGTACCCTGCTACCGCCACAGAGGGAATTTCTCTGCTAGTACCTGCGCCCGGACGGTAGGGGGCTACCGGTCCGACGGTACCAAGGTATCACTTGGCGCTACCAAAGTACTGTAACAGATACCATACCCGCAACTGTATGCTCGTTATTTGTTTGTTTGTTCCGATTTGAGTCGCGGATTGTTTTCGATACCTTATGTGCTGCATGACAGTAAGTCGAAGGTGTTTACACTTGATACTAGGCCGCTAATTGTTAAATATGTATGTTTATGAACTTTAATATGAATATGTATGAGTTTAGAAAAACAAAATTATGAACTTGAATACAGATATGCTACTTCGCTGAACTATAAGTAAACTGAGAAACAGACTAAGAATACAGTTATAAGTTGATGGTCAGGTGATGAGTTGGTGTGCACGCATGATCAGTTGGGTAAAGCGTGTGCACGGGGTTCGTAAATCTATTCATGGATGTGAGTAGGTGGTCCCACCTACTCGACGTTGGATGACGTCGTATCGAGCGGGTTCTCCTATGTATGTGGTTGAATCAAGATTCTAGAAAGAATAAAGAATTGGTTTTAACCTAAGATACGTTATGAGCTTAGAATTAAGGAAATGTAGATATGAACTTTGCATATAAATTCTGTGTCAAAAACGCCTATGTTAAGAATGAGATAAATTTGGTATTCCAAGTAAGTTAGTTTGATTTATGAATTGTTTGATATTATTAATGTTGTACTTGTGTGCATGATATTTTATCAACTTATGAGCTAGTTAGTTCATCTATATACATAGTCAAACGTTAGATATTACTCACTAAGTTTCAATGCTGAGTGTGTAGCCCTTTTTTTCTCTTTACTACACGTAAGTATCAGGAACGAAGAATAAGGAAATAATCTTGGAAGGCAGCAAGAGTGAGGAGATGGATGGATGCTGGATGAAGGAGTTTATTTAAATTAATATTATATTTGAGTTTAGTATATTTCCGGGCAAAAACCCAAAATTGTAATTGAATTAAGTACATAAAGCTTCCGCGCCATTTTTTGTTAACTCTGATGGATTTTTAAATATTATTTTGAATTAAATCATTAAACTTGTTTTGAAAATTACCGTGTTGGGATATCATTTTAGTGACAACCCGATCTGTTGGTCCGTGTATCCGGGCTACGCGGATCGGAGTGTTAGGTTATGTTTACAAATAAGCACCCCAATAATGTGACATATAAGTTTTAGTCTAAGATATACAAGGAATATGCTCTCACTCCCTCTTCCCATCATAATCATGCAGCCACACCTTCACCTCAATTTTCCTCCGGTTTCTTCACCTCAATTTTCCTCCGGTTTAAGCCGTGACCAATGACATAGGAAGCATTTTGTACGTATGAGATCATCCGATCAATCTCTCGAGACTGCTATATAGGCAACAAGTTGAATTTCAAACCAACTATTGCCTTCTCATGGCCCTGCATTTTTTAAAAAACCATATTGCCAAAAAGAAAACATTAAAGTAGGACAACTCGGGCTGAAAGGATTGAGGATCTTACCTTCCCAAGCAAGACAACTCGGGCTCTGTAAGCAGCATTTCTTGTATAGATCGATCGGACATTTCTTTGGAACTACAATAAATATAACGGGGAGGACAAGGAAGAGGAGTCATATTCTTGTCTTCACTAGGCATACATACATACATGCATGCATGCATGCATGCATGCATGCATGTATGTATGTATGTATGTAGCCACATGTATGCATGCATGCATGCATGCATACATACATACATACATACATACATACATACATACATACATACATACATACACACACACACACACACACACATAGTAGGTAAAAAAATAAAATAAAAAAGATTGAGATAAAAAGGTAGAAAATACGTATGCATGCCTGTAAAGATAGTAATCAGGAGACAAGAGGCGGTGATGAATGGTATAGTCAGTAGCGACATAAGTGACAAGGAGAGTTCCGGCATCAGGGTGGGGCCAGCTCCTTGACGTAGGAAAACGCAATATGAAAGTTCCCGGGGGCTGGAGACCTCCTCCTCCTCCAGGGCCTTGTCGAAGGGAAGACTCAGCTTNACACACACACACACACACATAGTAGGTAAAAAAATAAAATAAAAAAGATTGAGATAAAAAGGTAGAAAATACGTATGCATGCCTGTAAAGATAGTAATCAGGAGACAAGAGGCGGTGATGAATGGTATAGTCAGTAGCGACATAAGTGACAAGGAGAGTTCCGGCATCAGGGTGGGGCCAGCTCCTTGACGTAGGAAAACGCAATATGAAAGTTCCCGGGGGCTGGAGACCTCCTCCTCCTCCAGGGCCTTGTCGAAGGGAAGACTCAGCTTCTTCCTTGGTGATAAATCCTTCAATCCACTTAGGTGACACACTACTCCACAATGAATTACTCTGTTTCTGAGACAATGTAAAAGCTACGGGATACAACCAGCACCACATCTTTTCAAAGTTTTCTTGACAAACTGTCATGTCTTGACAACCCGCTATTCTTCTCAAAATCTCAAAGTCCTGTTATGCATTTCCACAAGTGTCATTCTTTTGAAATTCCATTTTTTTGTCACTCATAGCCATGCATTGTCTCGTGATATTTTTACATGCAGGTAGAAATAACAAATAATGATGATGATGATGATGAGAGGCAAATAAGAGAGTTGAGACCCAAAAGAACAAATTTGAAGTTAGTTTCAATAATTATAGTTATGCAAGAGAGGGAAGGAGAGCCATGATACTACGTACACAATAATTTATATTTCAAAAGTCGGGGGACAAATGGAGAATGAATCCGGGTGGAGAGTTTTTACCTGTCTTGTTAAGCATCTTGTTCTACAGAATGTTAACTTCAAGAAATGGTCCTTAAGCCCGGATATCATATCATCCCAGAGGACATTTTCGCTGTTTTTTGATATCAAGGTCCAACACTTGATACCAATGTCAATAAGTCTCTTCGACATTAGTATTTGGCGCCTGAAAAAGAGTTTGCATTCTTCAGTACAAATCTGGTGCTAATCAATCAATATGGATTATGGAATGGCTGCCTTGTTACTATTGTGAGAAAGAACTGAGCCACTTTTAGAGAACGGGAAATACAATTTAGTGAACGAAAAACATACTTGTGATGTGAACATCCAGTGAACAAAGAAACCTGCTCGGAAAAGCTACCAAGTGCCTCATCTTCATAAGTCAACGTGAGTTCCTTGAGCAGACCACACCTCTCACTGACGCCACCAATGCAATATTTGAAAACCACCAGATCTGAAATTGGACCCATGCGAGGAGAGAAGTTTCCTGGAACTAAATTTGTTGCTTCACTGTTCTCAGAATCAGATGAAAAGTTCTCTGCTCCATCTTCATGACTTTCTTCCCTCCCCACAATACCGTTCACACATGCAACATTGTCCTAGTTTTAAAGTAAATAGTGCATCAAAATGTTCAGATTCTAATGCCTTAGCCCTTACGTGTGTGTGTGAGACAAAATAGAGATTTTAAGGGAATTAATAAAGGCTTACCTCATTAGTAGTGGTCCAGACATGAGAGCTTGATTCCACCTCAGCTTCCTTCAACATACAATCATCCTCATCCTTCAAAAGTGAGAGAGATATATCTTGCCCTAATTTCACTCGCTTTGATGAAGGACTCTGCTTTGCTTCATGAACAATGTTATGGAGAACATCAGATGCTCCACCATCCAACACAGGAGATTGGGATCTATTTAATGAATGGATAGAAGACGGTGACTTCTTCCATGTTGAAGAAGATGACCTTACGGGACGGCACCGGGATACACATCGAATTGGTGTGGAGAGCGCCTCAAAAAAAGGATATCTGCCCATCTTCGGAATGTAAAACTTAACACGGAAGAGCCTATTATTACACTTGGAAGAGAGCTGAGGTCAGGAGAAAAAGATAATAATCAATACATGCTCTACCTCTGTGATGCCATTCAACAAAATAAGCATCATTTTGGAAACAAATATGCATTACAACTCATGACCTTCATGTTATAGAAGAGCAGAAGCATACAGGGTGATTGATATCTCATGTAATACAAAGAAATGAGGTTTTAAAAAGAAGCATCTAATTTCAGGAAAGCGGGGGTAGTAAATTCTTCCTTTCGCATCTGTTAGGACATGTGGATAAGCGATTGAGGGATGAAAGAAAGAGGAAAGAGATAATTTGGAGATAAACAAAAAGGCTTTCTCATATCTGGTAGGAGAAGAATTAAAGAAATTGAAATTAAAAAACATTGGGTCCACTCAAACCCCTCTCTCCTTTGGTGTGAAGAAAGAAGGCTTTCTCTTCATTTTCTCGCAAATAACCTTTTTCCGTCCATTGCTAATGAAGCTAGAAGAGTCATCATTGACAATGTTTTAGTGTCGGGCATATAGTGGACTAAATAAATAAAACACATTTAAATTCTTACTCTCTATGATGCTTTGAGCAGTAAATGCAACAATACATCTAGGGTCTAATGGAAACTAACACTCTGATTTTACATGGACAAGGCTGCATACATCTCGACTCTCGAGAGTCGAGACCCCAAGTCCCAACGGTGTTCGGATTATAATGGGTTATTGTTGTTGTATTGAGGGTACTTATCATTTCATAAATATAATTATTCATTTTTATCTTAAAGCACCCTTTTTCTCTCACATTTTCTTCCTTTTTCTCTTATACAAACACAAATTAGTGAATTTACAATCCACCACACTGATCATCCCTTTCTCTCTTCCCTTATTTTCCTCACCACTTCCACTCTTCTTACTTTTTCTACAAACCAAACAAGTCATTACTATGGAAAATGATATACAACAACAACAACAACAACAGCATTACCCCAGTGCCTCAAAGGCTCCCGCCCATTGCAAGCTAGGGGGGTCGGATGTATGCAGTCTAGCCCGTATGTTTAAAACATAGAGCAGCTGGTTCCTGATGACCCATGAGGAGCGTCGAAAGTTGCATTGACTAACTGCTACTCCGTACTTCACTGTTGAAAAAAGCTCAGACACTTTAAATAGCCATTTTGCTCTATTCCCCCATACCCAAAAGCCAAAATAGTGAATCTTTGGCTACATCGAAGATGAAGGAAAAGTATGGAAAATGATATGTGAAAGGAAAATGTGAACTCAAAAGTATTCTTCTATGATAATCAAAACATCTACATGTAGCCTGGCATCTTAAGTATTTTCACAGCTTGTAGTACATCCCTTTAAACTCAGTTAAAAGAATTGGAAGTCAAACATTGAATACCTGAGATATCTTGAGCTTAAAAGAAGCACGCCCCTGAATCAGTTTGCTTGGTCTATCAGATGAAGTGGATTCAACTCCATCATAACTTGAAAGGAGTGGAGCTTCAGCATCAGATGGCTTCTCAACAGGTTCTTCTGAATCGGCATACACAAGTGAAGCAACAACCTGATGGTATTGGTAAGACATGGACATACACATTGATCACTGGCAGTTTTGACTTTACAAAGTTAACTCATAAAATGAATAAAAGGCAGAGGCCGAACCTCCCCTTCTTCGTTTACTGGCCTTCCAAGGGCGTCCAGTAGCATCACGTCTAATGAAAACTTCTTGCGACAAGATGCCTGTTCTTTTAAAGAACAAAGATAGGCAATTTATAAAGAAACAACTAGAGAAACTAAGAAGATATAAAAGGTACAAAAAGGAGAAAACAACAGTACAACAACAGGAGCAACAAACCCAATAAAATCCCAACCTCATTGGGGTCTGGGCGTCTGTACATAGCCTTACCCTTAGAAAAACAGAGAGACTATTTTCGTTACACCCTTGATGCATTATAGCATTTACTACCCAAAACTTCATTGAAAGTAAGAAGCAAGAAAGTTTAATGATTCATTTGGATTAAGTGCATTATTCACTTGGAGCTAAAAAAGAATTGTCAAAAATGACTTTTTCACTCCATTGGCAATGGACATGAGAAAAACACAGAAACAGAAGAGAAACATTATCATGTTCTTAACCTTCCCACCAACAATGTTCCATACACCATCAACATCTTCATCAATTTCATAGGCACTAGAACTATCAATGGATAGTTGTATTGGGCTGTCCTGCATATATGGGAAATGTGAGCAAGGAAGACATCAACAGGAATGCATATGCACTAATTTAATTCATAAATGGAAAACCTTAAAGCAGTGGCTTTGAATAGAAGGCACTTCGGAAAAGATTCCTAAACCATATATGTATCCTTGCAACCCACCATTGTTTCCCTTTATGCAACAGAGGGATACCTTTCTTGAAATATCAGAATGCAAATCACTATTAACAGGGGAAGTTGAATGCATTTCGCCAATAATCTCCCCATCAATGTGAAGTCGCAGAAGAACCTGTGAGATCTGAATATATATACACACACACACACACACACACACACACATGTATTTATAAGATGAGCATGTGTGAAAGAGGTAAACAACGCTAGAGTATATGCAAGCAAAAATATATCAACAATCAAATTTGATAGAAGCTACATAGTAGATAATATCATAACAGATTCTCACTCTTAACATGCAAACGCATACATAAAAAGACAATCTGCTCAAATATGAAAACCATAAAAGGTCATGATTATGGACAGAAGGAATATATATGTATACAACCGATGTGCACCTCACAAGAAATATGAACCCACTTCTTCACTGGGAATTGCTTTTTGTTAGATGCACTAGGAACTTGTTTGCACGAAATAGCATTAGAAGCCACAGAAACAGTAGGGAGAGAGCTTTTCAATGTACACTGGAAAAGGAGAGCTTCATTGAGTGCAACATATGAATATTTGAAAGCTTCGAGTTTATAAAAACAATCATGATCTAAGGCTTCGAGTATAATGATGATTAGAATATCAAGTCTACATACTTCACATCAAACTTTCCGAAATCTAGACACAGAGATTCAATCACAAGACTTCTTGAAAGTGTACCATACAGTTAGACCGATAGCCAATTTGCAATTACTAAAATAAAACAATTCTGAAATTGCTACCTTCCACATCAAAAACATAAATCAATCATTTCAGAAGTGTAATGAAACCCCTCAAAAAGAGTATGTGGAAACTAAAGACCATCCAAAATCTCTTTTTCCTCAAAAAAAGATCTTTTATCAATCAAAACATAAGAAACAAATAATCAATACTAACTATATCTACAATCATTTTAGTTTCAAAATCAAACTCAGACAAATACATCTAGAAAGGGTTTATATCACACATCCAAACGGGAAACGTGAAACTAAATAACTAATAGCAACATGCATTTACATATTATGCACACACAAAAAACAAGAAAATACAGAAAAGTTTAGGAAATCTTAGATGAACCTGAAGAAGAATTGCGGAAGGTAGAGGAGTGGCGTTGTTTAGGTAAAGCCAGAAACACAGAGTGAAACCCCCATTCGCTCCTCTTCCTTCAACCTCACTGATTTCAACTCTGAGATCTTTCAGCGGCACATAACTACCGAGTTCGAGAAAACCCATTTTTTATTTCCTCGCCTTGCTTGATCAAACCAACCTCTCTCTCTCTCTCTCTCTCTCTCTCTCTCTCTTAGCAGTTCTTGTTGTTTTCCCTTTTCTGATGTCTGAATGGGGGTCGTTGGGAGACTCTTCTTGGATGGTTTCTTGACGGCTGTTAATTAACGGTTTCAGTGGTGGTGCCACAGGAAGTTCACCTCCATGGCTCCATGTCATCCCTTGATCCCCAATTTCTCCTCGCACAGATTGGGCTTTTTTCGTTTTGGGCTTTCCTATCATGGGTTGTAGACTTCTATTTTCTTCTTAATACTCCATTTCAAAATAATGTTTCTATTTAAATTTTTAAATACAAAAAGAGGAGTAAAAGATTGTTAAAATACTAAAATATGAGTCACAAATCTTTTGAAACCAAAATATAAATTTGCATTGTCATTTTTACATTGTCATGCCTATCATATTGTCGCATTATAATTGTCATACTAGTACCGCCACACTTTGATACGTCGCTGCCGGCAACCAAAATGTCGTTGTAGATCGCAGAGAGTTGACTAATCATATTGACATATTACATTGTCGTCACTTTTTTATCACACTGTCAATGCGTATTCTTACACCACACTGTCATTATATTTTATTTTTGTCTTAAAAGATATAGGACTCCTATTTTAGTATTTTTAATCTTTATTACTCCTATTCAGAGAGATTTTTTTAAAAAATATACTCTTTCCATCCTATAAAAGATTACAAATTTTGCTAAATGAAGAAAAATCCAAAATTTTTTAAAATTATTCTATTTAAAGACCGTTGATCTATTATATATATCTATTATATACTCCCTCCGTCCCAGTTGAAACTTCTCGTTTTGACTGGGCACGATTTTTAATGTAATGTTAAAAGTCCTTTGACTTTACTAAAATGCCCTCCACCAAATTTCGCCACCCCTCCTACTCATATCTGCCGTTGTCCACATCTCGACACCACCCCTCCTCTTTCAGATCTGAAGCCGTCCGTCCCCTACCCCCATGGACACACCGCCCCTTCTACTCTAAATTTGATGTCGACACTTCTCCTCGTTTGACGCTTCCGCCCCTTCTCCTGTAGATCCGAAGCTTCCTATTCTCCATATCGGGGCCATTTGTTCCCCTGCAGATCTATTGTGCCCTTTAGCCGACTTTTGATGAAGATAGAGAAACAGGGGGTGGAGATTCTGACGAAGAACAAGAAATTGGAGAAGAACAAGGGGGTGACGAAAAAAGAATTATGGATGAAGAACAAGGGGGCGATGAAGAAAGAAAGAAGTTAGGGAAGAGGTGGCTGACGAAGAAAAGTAGAAAGAAGAAATTGATGTGGAAGAAGAAGAATTAAAATGAGTGGGGGAGGGGGGCAACGAAGGAAAAAGAAATTGAATTGGGGAAGAAGAAATTTGGTGGGTGGGGACTGGGGAGAGATAGAAGGAAGTAAAAAGTGAGGATAAATTAGTCTTTTTAATATAATTTATTTGCCAAATAAGGAAACGAGAAGAAAGAAGTGGGACGGACTAAAAAAGAAAGTGAAAAGAAAGATATGGGACGGAGGGAGTATATAAAAGAAGAATAAAAAATTGGCAATCAATTTTCCCGCCAGATTGGTGAATCAACGGTCCAATTTCATCTAGATCAACGGTCCAATTTTATCCTCAATAAACTATCTCAAAAACTGCAAAGCAACCTATTAAAAACCGCCTTTCTATTTCGTACGGCCCAAAAAAACAGTTTGTATTAAATATGAAGAAAATAAAATGCTGTCCCAACTTTTAATTAAATAACATTGGAAAAAACTAATCAATAGTCTAGATTTAACATGATGTCTTGATCAACGGTTCCTATTTCCCCACAATTACAAATGAATGGTCCAATTTTAATCTAGATCAAAAGTCCAATGAATCATTCAGAAATTGTCAGAGATAGCTACCACCCATCCAATTAGTGCGAATAATGGTTCAGATTCAATCTTTATACTCCGTAGTTGTTAATAATGGCTCAATTAATTCTTTCTTGATATCATATCCAAACATCAAAAAAATAACCTGGTTTTTAAAACAGAAAATATACAATTGCTGAAATCCGCAAACCCCACAATTGCGATTCTTCAGCCACGAAAAAAAATTCTTTGACCTTCTTCACGTTCTTATAACGACTGCACTTCATTCTTGAAAACTGACGAACCACTTTGTGCTTAAACTCTTTTAAGAGATGTCTCCAAATTGGATCCCTCTCAACAGGCTCCACCCTGCTCGTCATCATGACGCTGTGAAATTGAGACTACTTCGACACTATGTTCTTAAGCCGAGAAAGAGTACACAGAATACAATCTATGGCCATGAAGTTATATTTCAAGATGAACAGGTTTGCGTTAAAAAAAAATTTTTTGTATATGAGTATCGAACTTCATGCTGTAATTCATGCATGATATCTTTTATAATATGTAGGGAAATTGTATTCATGCATTCTATATAAGAAGCCACTAATGTCGAAGTTTATGCCTTTACTGAAAAGGACAATTGCATGGAATACAAAATCCTATTGTCTCAAAAAATACTCAAAATTTGAGAGATCCCCGGTACAAAGTACAAACTCTCATTCACTCAAGAAAGGTGGCATGGATACTTTGTTCCAAGGTATTCACCTTTTTTGATGTTACAAAGCTCATTTTGGAACAGGATTTCCCACCTATATTGGAGTTCAAAAAAGTAAGAAACATTGTTACACTACAATGAACTATACTCCTTGTTCTGCCTAAATGTATATGGAACTAACACAAATATCTATAGGTTATTAGCTAAGGGAGTCTCTACACATGATGTTTTAACTTTTAAGATTGAGTGGTTCTTTATGCACAACAGCCCCTCCAAATCTTGAGATCTAACCATTAGAATAAGTTGCTGAGAACTATGAAGTATATATCACACATTATTTTTATTTTATTGTTACACTGCATTTTCCATTGAATGAATGTGCTAAATATATTAATTATATTTATTATTCTTGTAATTATTGTGTTACTATACTTGTATAGGTTTCCTAAATATGGCTCTCCTACTATGATTAGGATTGAAGACTCTACTATATATTGATGTATTCTCTACACAATTATTCAATGAAAATATTTCTTCTACATGGTATCAGAGCCACAAAACCCTAAACCCTAACCTCTCTATCTCTCTCTCTCTCGTTCGGTTCTACTCGCCGCCAGCCCGTCTCCCCTCCGGCGGCCTTCTCTCCCGGCGACGCTGCTTCCCTCCCGACGGCTCTCTCTCTTCTCCTCTTCCCATGGCCGAAAATAGTGAGGTTATTTCACAAAATATGTCCTCCAAAACCCCTCATCTTGCTCTCACAACCATCTCAAATGTGAGGTTGCATGTTCCCGTTCAACTCAGTCTCTCTCAACCGAACTACAAAAAGTGGAGTCGTCTGTTCCTCCTCCTCGTTCGGCGATTTAACCTTCAGGGATACCTCGATGGATCTGTCGTCCCCCTCTCCGACGACGATGATGAATGGTGCCAACTCGATGCTCTTCTCCAGGGTTGGATTCTCTCCACCATCACCGACGAAGTTTCAGATCTGGTACTCTCTTCTCTCACCACTGCTTCTGCTCTCTGGAAGTTCATCCACGACCTATTTCACGACAACAAAAATGCACGGGCTATGCAGTTGGAGCATGAATTTCGCACCACCGTCAAGGGCTCCACCTCTATGGCGGCCTATTGCCAGCAACTCCAAAACCTTGCCGACTGGTTGGATGACGTCGATGCACCGGTCTCCCAGCACCAACTGGTCCTCCAGATGCTCCGAGGGCTTCCCGATGATCTTCAGGCTCAAACCTCGTTCATGCAGTTTCAGGATCCGATGCCGAATTTTCTTCAAGTTAGATCGGCTCTCATGCTCTTGGAACACCAACGGTCTAAACCCGTTGAACCCGGCAGCACGGCCCTGCTCACTACCCGTGCCGGCGGTCAACCCCATGGCGGGACACACGGTGGCAGCGGCTATAGCGGCAATCACGGCGGCAGCAGCTACGGTGACGGCAACCCGGGACAGCGCGGAGGCTTTGGACGAGGGCAAGGACGTGGCGGCGGAAATTGGGGTCGTGGACGTGGGCGTCAAAACGGCTCCAGGCAACGACAAACTCATGACGGCAATACCACCTGGAACT